AAAAAAAAATAAAAGAAAAAAACAAAACAAAAAAAAAACCAAAAGCAAATAAAAAAAGAAACAAAAGATGCGCAGTGAAAATTTGTAAGAGGAAAAAGTACGTTGCGAAGTTGGCTTTTAGCCAAAAAATTAGTTATTCAAACGTTCCTTTCATTTTTTTTTTTCTACAGCGTTCAACTTGGTAATGAGTTAATGCTGCTGTTACGTTACCCTATGAACTAATGCAAATCAAACTTAAACATCCACACTCATTTTTTTTACTAGTTAATTTTCATTTACACGCTGATTTTGTCACTGATCCATCGGACGTAAACGTACCAATAACACTGTTCCAATGAATATATATACATATAATTCTAACAAAATATCAGGTTGAATTTAAATTAAAATCTGTTGAAGACAACCTACGTTAGCTACAACCCAAAATTTTTTACAATATTGATCACTGGTCAGCTTAATTTTAGTTGAAAAAAAAAAAAAAAAAATAGTGTGTATCAAAATGAAAAAAAAAAAATAAATATATATGTAAATAAATTGGATATATATTTTTTCTTTCTCTTTATATTTTTTTTAATATAAAAGTGGAGTGTTGTCCGGTTGGACAGTTTTTTTTTTTTTGCGGAATTGTTATTGTTGCCTGTACAAAAACCAAATTGATTGTACAGGTAAAAATTGTATTGGCAACAGTTTTTTAAATTATGATCAGTTTGCTGTCTGTTATTGCTGTGATTTTAATTTAGATCTTGCGCGACATATGCATATAATAAGATGAGAACTATCAGACGAGCCATGACTGCGGTTTACGGCCGCGCTTCCAGTTTGTTTTCCTTTTATATATATATATTATTTTAATATTATTATCATTTCTAATTTCCTGCCTACTTATCTATGTTTTTTTTTAATTTTTTTAATTTTGAAAAGCAAGAGAAAAAGTTTTTACTGCGAATAATTTTTTAATTCTTTCTACAGACATCTTGTGTATTTCATATGTTGCTTTTTTTTTTTTGGTGTTGGACTCTGGCATCAATTGATGGCATTGTCGTATACGAATTTTTTTTGTTTTTGCTGTCAAAGAATAAATGCACAGTTTGGTTTAGGTTAACCCGAAGGATTTTAGTCTAAGGACTAACTGTACGCAATAGTTAAGAGACTGTGTATTGTTACCAGTGCTTCCCTAAAGCAGTTCTGTAAACCGAGTTGATGCTGGTTGTTGATCTTTTTGTCGTGTATTTCTCAAACGAAAGTGTTTAACCCAGTTACTTTTCATTCTTCCCTAAACCATTTAATCTTCCTCTTGTTCAATATCTTCAGTTCTGGTACTTTTATTGACTCTAAAAGATTAAAACTATATTATCTTAGGAACTTTTCCTTAGTTATTGTAATTGAAAGTTTTTAAACTTTTTTCTTCTGTTCTCATCAGTTCTTTATTTTCATAAAAACTTGACTGTTTTTGGCTTTCATTCTACCGGTCAATTTGATGATATCATATTGATTACTCCTTAAGTCGGAAATTACTTGTAGTAGGAAATTTATGGACACTATCGGTCAGTTTGGAGAATTATGCGGTTCGGTTTCCTCACGAATGCTTTCACAATGTTCAGTGATCGGAAGAAATTTCAAAACGTAACTTTCCTATTCGTATTTTCCTTCGACCATCTTCACTGAATCATTTTTTAGCTGCACTAATTGTCTTTAAATGAGTGGGAATTGGATGAATAGAGGAGATGTGAAAAGCTTTTTTGAATTTTTCTTTCCAGTTTCGTACTTTAGAGGTTATTTCTATACGTGTTCAAAAAAACAAAGAAATTTTTTGCTGCCAGTTGGCTGCCTAATGCATCTGCAATTAGATGTAGTGAATAGAAAAATGGATTCCAAATTCAGATTTTGATGAAGTTCCCTGAAAGATTATGCTTGTATATGCCCTTGATGTGTTGTTATTTTCATTACTTTTGTTATCTTAAATTTGTTTTAAAAATATAATTTCATTCTCTGAAAAACGTGTTGTCGTGTTTTTAATCGGATATTACTCATGTAACTGTGGTTCACAAAAAACTGTTATTTTGTTCCACTGCTGTATAACTACGCGCTGATGGACTTTTAATTAACTTTTTCTTCTTTATTAATTCGTAATATTATTTATTATACATTCATGAAGGATTTGAAGTTGGTGCTTTTGCTCTTATTTTCTGTCGAGAAGTTGTAGAGTATTGTAAATAATTTTGTAGATTTATTTAGCCGTTTTCGAGCGCCGGAAGAAGACAAAAGAATAAAAGATATGGTGGAGGTCTTGAACAGAAGGGATTCCGATGCGTCCAGGTAATGTTCTACAAGTTTTGCTTTGAAAAAGCTATAAACTGTTCACTTTTTGCCGTTATTTTTGCTAAGTTTTTGTGAATGTTTCGGATCTGCGCACGGGTCGCTTAGAAATGTTGTTTATTCATTATTAATGTTTTTTTTTTCAGCGATCACTTTAAGCTGGATGCTACGGCGCTAAACAAACCTCCTGAAGAAGTTTTTGACATAGTAGGCAAACTCGGGGAAGGGTATTTTTTAAATTATCTTCAGCGTTTT